GAAAGAGAGAGGGGAGAGTTCTTTCTCCTTATTTCATTACCTGCAAAATTCAGTGGAAGAGAATATGGCAATTGAGCAAGTGATTAAGTTAACTTAACAAGAACTAAGAAGCAGAAAGCTGTGCTGCTGAGAATGCATAGGAGGCTTACGAAAGTGTGGTTTTATGAGAGGAGGTACACTGAGCTAAAACATAGTTGCCGCTCAGGGCTCTAGTCCCACTCCAGGCAATATATGCCTACCATTTTGGTTGCAGCAGAATGATCTCTGGCTGAGTCAGTTAAGCTCACTGGACAGACAGAAAATTAACCCAGTAAAAAAGCTTATAGATGCTTATATAGCTAGGATTAGGGCTGAAGTAAGGCAGCATGGGAAACAGTGGAATGAGACTATTAGACTGACTGACCTGTTTAATCCAATTATACCTGTGTGCCCAACTTTAGTTAGACTACCAAAAACTATTTTCAATTAACCCTATCTAACTCATTGCATAATTAATGATTTTTTTCAAGATTCAATATTGCAATTGTTCCAGTTAAAGAATCTGATACCATAAAGCCCTAAACTACCTACTGTCTCAAGAAATCATACAGCAAAATCAGAAAAGTTGTTTCATGTAGTAAACTGATGCATTTAAAGGTTCAGCAACAGGGGAACAGGCCACTTCTCTGTCAGTTCATTTATTCTGCTCTGTTTGGAATCTGACTTTCATAATCCTCTTGAAAGTGAATGGGGCGTGTCAAAGGTGCAAAGTTTATAACTCAGAGGTGCAAAGTTTATAACTCAGAGTAGTAAAAGAATAACTTTTTAGAACTTTCTATTTCCGTTTCTTTGCTGAAGACATCTTTTTTGCAGGCTTGAGGTAATGGAGCAATATCTGATCTGGTTGCATTATGACAGCTGTCTTGGTAATTAAAAAAAAGGTTAAACTAAAGTTTGGAACGTACGGGTTTTTGATCTAGTTTTGAGTAGCTACTAAAATACTGTGGGATTCAAGGGAGAGAGATTTTCTTTGTGTATGTGTTTGTTTTTTTTTTTTTTGGACAGCAACTACTTTCTGCTGTTAATTTTTAATGTCAAAGCTGGGGCTGGATTTCCATGTCCTGGTTAACATCCTGGAAGTCACTATGCCTCCTTTAGTATTTATTTTAAAATCTTCTTTGTGGAGACTGTTCTGGCCCCTGCAGATTGATCAGAAAGAATGTTCAATATGAGACTGTAAATGCTGCAGGATTACATTAGAATCTGATTTCACTTTAGGTAATCATATGTCTGCTGAGTGTATTACGGGTGACAGTTAAAATGCAGACTGAGCGGCAAGTTCAAGGAGAACCAAAGTTTGGATCGTTGAAGTGCTGGTTTATTAAATCTGGATTGCTAAACCTGAGTTGTCCTAGTTTAATTCCTACTTTCTTCTTTAACGATAACATTTTTTTCTGTAGGCGCTTATTAGTGATTTTTCTGATTATTGTCTCTCTTGCGGAGCTTAGTTATCGCAGACAAACAGATATCTTTCAGGGCCAACAATGCTTTTTAAGAAGCCTCATATCTTCGTTTGGGGTATGACTTCCCACGTTTCTGGCCATTGGTCTCAGTTTTTTAAAGTAGGACTACGTTAAATATTTTATTCATTTTTTGAATGATTTGTTTATATAAAACCTGAGGCCTGCAGCATCTCATGATTTGTTTTTGTGCTTACTTTATGTATATGCGTACATATATGTGTGTTTGCATGTTTATATACTTTTTTTAACATTTCATGGAGCTATTATTGAAGCTAAGATCACAACACAGATTTAGTCTTCTAGTGTTTCAAAAACATTAGAGATTAAAACTCTTAAAAACAGCTATTTAAAAAAATTCTTTGTTATTACAAGGACTGTGAAAAATACAAATAACTGAAATACTAATATCGTACTCCCAAACACATTGCTATCAATCTGATAGCAAACACTTACTATTAAATACATCCTAAGAAGTCTTTAGAGCTTTTAGGAGGAAATCTTTTGAATTTAATAGATAATTGGTTCCTTCTCACTGTGAGGCAGAGGAGTCAACAAGATAAGTTCTTTAATGGCTCATTTATCGTTCTGCAGAATCCCAGGGTTAGATTTACAGAGGAGAGCTAAAAGTGCTGGAGTCTCCCCATTAACAATAACTGTTGTGATACATTCTCTGTTATGTATAACTGAAAAACTTCCACTTCCCACCTGTCCATCATAGAAGTATAACTGATGTGCTAAGGTTCATTCCGCTTTCTGGATGGTCCCTAGGTCTTTTTAAGATGACTTGCGTTTGCTTGTGTTTAAAAAGCAGGATGACTGATCATGGTCTTTGCTGCAAAGCTGTAGATAGGCTGGGTATACTGTGCCTTACCTTGGTAAGTACAGATAGTTCAAGCGCTTGAACTTGACTATTAATGATTTATTGGAAGATACAAAGGTATGAAACTCTTTTCAGCTCTTCTACTGTCAATATTTGGTGAACAATCTGTAGCAAGAGGTTTTGCCTTTACAAAGCATTTATGGAATCAGAATGTATTCTATTTTATTTAGAAATAAAGGACAATGACTTTGCTTCTTTTACACCATGAAGCTAGAAGAGTTCAAAATCTTGCATAAGATGCATCTGAAACATGATTATTCAAGATGATTCAGGTCCATTTGTTTTGAGTGTATCAGCTGTCCCTAGTTTAATAACACAGGGTCCTCAACAAATTGCAGTGACTGCTCACCCTTTCAATTTTTTCATTGTTTATATTTGATAACCTGTATGAACTTCTGTGTCAGCATAGGAGGGAGATATTTGAAGAAAAAAAATTATGTCAGACACGTTGAAGTAAATTTAAATTTATTATTGTAAGATCCCAAAGGTCAGATGACTTAAAATAATGTAACTATGAATCACATTTTCAGAAAGAGAATTTAGTCTAGGCAGCTTTAAGAAAAACAGGTATAATACTTGCATAATATAGTTATTAGCCCTCCTGCCTCCCTCCCCAAATTAATACCTCCTCTCAATGAGAATGGTGACATGTTAAATGTAGGCTGAATTTGGGAAGTCTTATCAGTGACTCTGGAATGTTTTTGAAGAAAGTCCTTTGTTCATATGAATAATGTCCATATTTTTAATGGAATAATAATAATTAGTAATAATTAATTGGAATAATACAGGAAAGTCTCTTTGTATGTGTTGAACACAAATATGAAAAATGAAGAGGTAGGGCTGTTTTAGGTCTCTTGAACAGAGGAATTTGAGAAGTATTAGGAACATACGGAATCTGGAGAAGCAGAAGAGTCACTGTAATATACTCTGAGGAAATGAATGGGGATACATTCATGTGTAGTAGCCCTTTATTTGGATATCTGATTGTTTTTAACATACAGTATTGCAAAACATACAACAGTATACAGATCTATGTTACTGACATTATTATCACTAGTTCCTCCAGTGAATTACAGCTGTTTCATTCTGACTGCTAGTGCATCTCTAATGATCATTTTTCATCTGAAGTTAGAGAGAAGCTCGTGTTGATACTTCTTTGTTTTATAGAGTGATTGTTTCAAATTTATTTAAAGTATAATTTGGCAAATGCTGCTTAGACAATAGAGAGAAATGAACCATGTGATGTTCAGATGTTTATTTTTAGGTGCTGTAGGGAGAGTCTGTACTGGCAGCTTCAGCCATGGGAGCAGTAATTATAACAATGTGTTAGGAGAAGCCACAAGAAGGAAAGTTACAAACATTAATCCTTGGCATCTGATGTACTGTAATTACACAGCTTTGCTCTGATATCTGAATTTGTCTGTTTCACTTTTATCTTTCATATGTTTATAAATATCGTATTTATTAACACTTGAAGGAGATTAAGTTTCTGGGCAGGGAACATCTTCGGTGTTTGTGTAGCGCACGGTGTAATTAGGTACTGGAGTTTCTGAGTACTACCGCAATGCTATTGTCCTTAAAAATTATTCTTCTGTATCTTGCTATGGTATGAACCACGTGTGGCAGTAAATCTAATTTAATTTCAAAGCCATATTTCATTCCAGAAACTAGATGTATGACCAATCTGTCCTGCTGCTTTAAAAAAAATATATAGCTGTACCTTTAAAAAGGCTATTTGTTTAAAAGGATTATGAAATTTCCTCCCCCTCGGATGAATAGATGAGATCTTTCCAATATTATT